CCTCCCCCATCCCCTCCCCCTCCTCCCCCTCCTCCCCATCCAACCACCTCTCCGGCCGAAAAACCTCCGCATCCTCCCCAAAGTAATCCTTCCGTCGATGCAACGCCCACAAATTCCACGACACCAATCCCCCCTTGGGGATAAATATCGGCGCCATTCCATCCTCTCCTCCGCCTCGAGGTAAAATCGTATCTTCCAAAGCTTCGCGACTATTCAATGGAACGACGGGATAGAGACGGAGGGATTCGTTTAAGCAGGCGCGGAGATATTTCATGGATTTTAGTTGGTCGAATGTTGGCGGTTGTGATGATGAATTGGAGGAGGGGGAAGATGATGATTTTTGGTGAGGAGGAGGAGGTAAAATTGTGGCGGTGGTGATTTCGGATTGGAGTTTCCGCCAAATATCCGGTCGGCGAGCGAGTGTGAACCAGAGATTGGAGAGGAGAGAGGCAGTGGTATCTCGGCCTGCGAGGAGGATGTTGAGGAGTTCGCTGCGGATGCGGATGGGGTCTGTAGTTTGGCGGACGAGAGCGTCGATGAAGAGATATCTTTCCGGGGGTTGTTGTTGTTGGTGGTCCGGGGAAGAGTTTTTTTCTGCTGCGAGGAGTTGATCTCGTCGGGCGAGGCCTTTTTGGACGTACGAGTTGACGAAATTGTGTACGAAATCGCGGTCTTTTTGGAAGCGTTTGTTGGCGGGGAAGAGTTTGGCCCAGTTGCCCCATCGGGCGAGGTTGCCGATGAACTGGTGAGGGGAGAGTTAGTCACATACATATACACATATCGTATAATATATATATGTATCGCGAAAACTTACATCCTGACTCTGCGTAAACGCCTCCGAAAACCCATCATTCCCATCCTTGATCAAAGAATCGGTAGATTCACCAAACAAAAACTCCGTCGCACTATCAATGGTGAGACGAAAAAATCGTTCACTCAAATCGACTTCTTGGCCCGGAACAATCGTCGCAATTAGTCGCGAGACGTGCTTCTCAAACGTCTGCACATCGCCGACTTGCGAGCGTACGAAATTCGGACGGAGCATTTCTCGACTGTGCTGCCATTGTGCACCGTCGGTTGTGAAGATTCCTGTTTTGTCGATGATGAGTATATTATATCATATCATATCATATACGAGCTGGGGGGAGGGGGGGTTCTATTCAGGCGGTTGATCATAAGAAGTGGGGGTTGGGTACGAGACGGAAGATTGGTTTTCGGCCGCTTTTGGGAGATGGTGAGTTTTTTTTTTTTTTTTTCCTTTTTTCTTTTTTCTTTTTTTTTCTTTTTTCTTTTGTTTTTTTCTTTTTTCTTTTTGCAATAAAGACGGCGTGATGGCATGTTTTCAAATTTTCCGGTTCCAGAGTAGCATGCATATGTCTCCCCAGTGCCACCAGTCGAAAAGTATTCAACCCCGTATCCCTGAACCTCGACGCCGTAGTTTCCAACAGAGTGTGATTTTTCAAGGATGCGATATTCTCCAAGAATAAATCTAATCCTAAAATGGGGTCTTTTTGAGGGAGTCGGGGCGCGTCGCGGACACCTCGGTCGCGCTTGAAGGCTCGTCGACGATTCCAGAGGTCGACGGCGGAGATGATGTGGTATATGGTGTATAAGAGGGCTAGGCTGATGAGGGTTTGGGTTGGAGTGGGGAGCGAGATGAAGGACATTTTGATGGGTGTGTATGTATATAACCTGACTGTGGGCATGGACTTGAGGGAAACTAACTACCTGAACAGGCTGAACAGGATGATGAGGATGGGTGAAGGTCTCGTAAGCTCGATATGTATTATGTAAGTGAGTGAAAGGGTTCAGGTAGGCAGAAAGTAGAAAGGAGGACACGGCAAAAACCTTTTCTACTACCTCAACAGTAGTGACAGTAGTCACAGTACCAACCTCGTCCTACGTGTACCCTTTCGAGAGTCGCGTAGGTGGTATGTGTACGAGATGCACATGGCGAGGCGAACTGGCCAATCGCGTGGCAGGAAAATGTGGCTGCTACTTCGCTGCATGACATATGTACGATGATGTCCGGGGGGCCGCCATGGCTGAAGGCTGATGGGAGGGTTTAGAAGGGTTTGTCGAGTGAAGGGAACAGATGACACGGCTCGCTTTGGCCGAAAGGGAGAGCCCGATTGGAGGTGAATAATGGCATCGGCAACAGGCTGACAGCAGCTAGCTCCCTCTACTTGGATGCTACTTTCACTACTTCCACGACATGTATTATGTACTCCGCCTTCTGGTGAATATGTAGTGTGACCCGTGCAGCAGGAAAAAGTGAGTGGGAGTGCATTGCATGGGGCATGGGGAGAGGAGAAACAGAAACACGCTTTTGACGGGGTGCCACGGGGACGCCGAGAGGTTAAAACCAACGTCCCTCGGATCGGACACTCGGGCACAACCGCCCCGACAGTGCTTGGCAGCAGCACCTCTATCTCCTACCAGGTAGACATGCAAAATGTTTCTTGCCGACCACATCACACTGCACCCTTACCCCCTTACCCCTTGATCCTGGCAGACCGCGCTGGAAGAACTTATCCCAACCAAATATGCAGGACGAGCAGCAAATCATACGCTCAGCAGACGCTTGACCTCGCTCTGGATCGCCTCACTCATATCCTTGGTCGTTGCTTTGCCTCCTATAGCATCGTCAGTATATACTTATATACAGGCCATGCCCACGTCGTCATGTCCCATCCATGAATATGTATCGTGATGATGGGATAGGATGAGATAGGGTGGGATGGGGTGGGCAGACGAGTGATTTCAACTTACCCAAATCGCCAGTTCTAATCTCGAGCCCACCATCTTCCTTCGAGTCCAGGACTTTCGCCACTGCCTGCTCGATGATATCCGCCTCGCGATACATGCTGAAAGAGTACCGCAGCATCATCGCCAAACTCAAGACTTGAGCTACTGGGTTTGCCAAACCTACGGTCCAGATCGATCAGTACATGTTAAGTTTAACCTTTTTTTTCAGAGCCTGGCATCTCACCTTTTCCCGATATATCAGGAGCGGAGCCATGCACGGGCTCATACAGACCAACGACACCTCCCACGCTGTTCTGACCAAGACGAGTGCCTGGTGCGCCTGCAAGACTAGCACTGGGGAGTAATCCCAGGCTGCCGGTCAGACCTCCGCTCTCATCGCTGAGAATATCGCCAAACGTGTTATCCGTCACGATGATACCGTTAAACGCCGTCGGAGAGGTGATCAGGCGCAGAGCGAGCGAATCAGCGAGCTGGTGTTGAAGCTTCACTTGCGGAAACTCCTTCTCAAAGACTTCAGTCACGATCCGTCGCCACACTCGGGAATTCGCAAGCACATTTGCCTTGTCGGCGCTAAACACAGGTTGAGGAGGATCAGTCTGTAGTGCGAGGGCCCCAGCAACACGAGCGACACGCTCGATCTCTGCCCTGCTGTACTCCCAGGGGTCCATTGCATAATCTTCTTGTTCGATCTTCTTCCATAAGCTCATGTTCGGTACATTCTATGGAGGGGGAGGGGGGTTGGTTTCGTTACCTTGTTCCCGTAATATGCCCCGCCACAGTTCTCTCTGATGAGCATAAAGTCGACACCTTCAATGACTTCTCGCTTGATCGGCGACCAGTCCACCATTGTCTTTGACGCAAATTTGCAAGGTCGGAGATTGGCAAAGACCTTTATGGCAATGCTTCAGAGCGACTCTCAAGAAGTCCATCCAGGCTGGCAAGCAAAACATACCTGCAACCTCTTCCGGATCCTCAACAGGCCAGACTCTGGGTTGGGCTGACTCGTACCCCATTCTGGACCCCCTGCTGAGCCGAAAAAGACGGCATCAGCTTGCTCGCATTTCTTCAATACCTCCTCTGTGACGGAGTCGTTGTGTACGTCTAGCGAGCAGCCGCCACAAAGATCAAAGTCACGCTCCAAGTGAAGTCCGGTGGCAGCTTCTCTACGACTAGATTAGCGTGTAGGGCAGCGTCTGTCGATGCAACAGCCGCTTACACAATGTCCAACACTTTCAGCGCTTCTGTGACCACCTCGGGTCCGATGTGGTCTCCAGGGAGCACCACGATTCTGCCACTTCTGGGCGCAGCCTTCACTGTTGCGCCAGTGGTGGTCGGCATGACGAATACTGATGTTTCTACAGGTGGAATATTCCAAGTGAACAAGTCTCACGAGTCTGGATGAATTATTCAGGTATCATTAAATCTGCTACCTCCTAGATTAGATTGTTGGTACCTCCTACCTCCTACCTCCCCTCCTACCTCCTATTAGTACGGTAGGTACCTACCCCTCATAGGATCTACATGTACCTGTACGCCCTCACTCACCCCGCCTCCATCCCAGCGACATCGGCGAGCCCGAACGAACACCGAGTCTCGGATGCTAGCCAGACGGCCCCAGTGCCTCCTCACGTGCACACGTCGTTCACTGCTCACACTGTGCCATACAAGGCGGCGGATCCCCGAATGTTGCGCTTCGTGCCAGTTCTCGAAGCCCAGACTTCACTTCCTCCTTGCTGTTGTACACGTACTCCGCACCCCGACCCGACCGCTCGTCCATATGGTCATGGCCCTGGCGCAACCAATGCAGGACCAGTGAGTCCAATGACAATTCGGCGTTCATCCACTCGAATACCGCTGCGAACTTGTCATGTGGACCCAGAACGACATGGCGGAGGACCACGTTCCGGAGGGAATCCTTATGTTGGGCAAGAAACCCACACAGATCTTGCGACCGCAGCACTGCTCCGGTCAGGTGGACCGTTTTGAGTTCAGTCGCAACTAGGGGTGTGAGCATATGTGGGTGTAGAAATGTTTCTTCGGCTTTGCAGCATCTACTGTTGAACACTAGCCGGAGTTCCTGTAACCTCGAAAACGCCGATCTGTTAAAATCGCACATGGCCGCAATCTGCCGGGCAGACGACTTGTGTAGACACCCGGGGCTCGCCGAGAGCGTCTCTAGCCGCGACCAGACGGACTTCAAGCGGGAGCTCCGCATGAGAGAGCTCATCACGCCAGGGTGCAGCGGCGACCTCCTATCGGACAAGTCCAAACTCTTCACCGGAAACCTGCTCCTGGCGATCGCAGCAAGAAGTAACCACGTGGTCTCGCTGTTGTCGTTGGGACAGCGACCCAGCAGCACATACTCGTTCCTGCTGCACATGCGTTTTGTACTGTCCAGCTGTTGCACCAGACGATGGAAGCCATAGGGTGTTGGCGATAGATGTGTGTGAGTGGACACTTTGAGCTCTGGATACACTCTGGCATCGTGCAAGTTGCTCAGTGCTTCGGAAAGCATCGAAACATCCATGCGGTCCTTCGTTATATCTTCGGCTTCGTGACACCAACTGCTCCAAATGGATTGCGGGCGTGGCCCCATTGGGTGTGGGAGGCTTGCATCGGCAGTCTTCTGAGGTCTCCTGATGGTGGGCGTATCTGTTACCGATGCCAGATTGGTCACGATCAGATCGATGGTCTTCAATTTGCGTCGCAATCTCGGATTCTTGCTGATGTCGATGAGAGTTTGGAAGGACTCCTTGGTCACCAAGTGTCGACGTGTGGTGAAATATCTGTTGATGAAGACCTTGTCCACAATCCTGCACATCTCTCTGCAGGTCAGGCGGAGGAAGAGCAGCTGATCACCATCAGTCGCCGTGGCAATTGCCTCCAGCAGCTCGGGCGGCAGTTGTAACAGAGGCCATGCCATCTTGAGTAATGCTCAGTCGGTGATACAAAGCGTGTGTGTGTGAGAGAGAGCGAGGTGGCCCGTATTGTCGCTTATGAAATATGGCAGTCCGCGACTTATGAAGCCTCCTGATACCCGTTTTGCTCCCGGCATCTTGTCTCGCACTTCGCATGGGGACATGAGCACACAGTCCGTGCGTTCGCTATCGAAGCACTTTTAAAGCTTCTAGCGGCCATGGAAGAAGTTAAATTGCACATGGAAGCCGGCAGTAAGTACCTCCTTATGGCTAGCTGTACTCACTTTCTATTCCCAGCTACGCCCGATATATGCCCGTTTGGCAAAGAGTTCCTCGGAGCGCTCTGGTAGCAGCACTCAGTTCAAGGTTCTTACTGTTAGCGGCTGCTGTGATCCAAAACGATATGCCTTATCAGCAGCACGGCAGTGTAAGAAGATGGGCATATCGCTGGAATCGCATCCCAAACCTGCAACCCCCCTTGTCCCTTTGAACCACAAGAATAGCCTAGAGCTGCCATGGCCCCCAGGACCACTACTAGGCTATGCCCTGGCAACATGCGGTTGAACCACTCTGTCCGATCTCAATGTCCACTACAAGACACTCCTACAGAAGTCCGGAGATTGACGGCAACAACGTCCACTTCAGCCCTACGGCGATCACACCACGATCTAGAATGCTTCCTGGATCATGCAACGGCCTAATCCTGGTTGAATCCGACATTTGAGATGGGGGATCGCGGCGTCTCTCATTTCAAGGAACCAATAGCGAGAAAAGAATGGTTGCTGCCGGAAGGTAGCGATTTGTGAGAAGCGAGAAGTCTCACTGACTACAAAGACTGCAGAAAACGTTCAAGACTAAGGTACAGCACTAGCTCCTTTCACATGCTATCGCACACTATGCAGCAATCGACCAAAAACCCATCAATCATGAGGTGGAGTCTCCCTATCAGGACTGCAAATCCGTCCGGGAAGAATCCGACCATCTACATCAAATCATCGCACTTCAAATCATCGCCTTGCGGAGACTCCTGCCAGGACTAAAGTTCCCTTCCGTAGTCAACCATATGCCAATAAATGCTAGTTCCTCCTATGCGCTCAGTGACCCGCGGAGGCTTCCCCCAACCTAGAGAGGGCTTAATGAGACGAAGCTCAATTAAGCGCTTAGATGAAGTTGCCACCGCCGTTGCATCGGCTCATTGGCGGGCTGGCCTGCTTCTTCTGGCAATCGGAGACAGCACCTCCGGTCCATTTTACACCGTTGAACTGGGCAGACAAACGGTCATCAGCCATGAAGGTTCCAATCACCTTGGTCGATCCAACACATCCTGATCGTTGCTCTCCGTAGCGGCGAGTGGTCGTTGGTCGGAGAATCATGGCTCCGCAGTTGCCGGCGAGAATGGTGGCACGGTTGAGGTTCGATGCACTGGATGTCCACGTCTTGCCGAAGTCGACACCCACAGATCCATACAGGAAGCTGGATGCAAAGTATGGGGTAATGCTACCCGAGACGGTGATGGAGTTGGCAACACTCCATCCCGCGGACACGTCAATCACAAAGTCGGAGCTTCGTGCGCAGACCACGTTGGACATCTGGATGTCCCAGTCGAGGAATGTCTCCACCTTGGTGATCTTGGTCGACTGCGTGTTTTTGCAGCTCTGACGCTTGTCGACGCTGACGTCGACATCGACATCGACGTCGGCAGTGAAGTTGAGGAAGTCGTGGTCAATCGGTGGTGGGCTCAGGAGGATTCCATTGGAAGTGAGGAGTTCCTCCCACTCAGTCTGGTTGAGCGAAGTCCCTTTTTTATCACGGATCAGCCTTTCTGTCTCAAACCATGACAAGGGAGGGGGTGGGATCACTCACTCTGTGCATCAACGTCTTGGAGGAACTTGAGGAGGTCTTGAGCCTCCTGCAGGGTGTCCGGGGTGAAATCAATGTCTGGCACAATTGGCGAAGCCATGACTGCCGAGACGGCAGCCAGGCCGAAGAAGATCTTGGAAAGCATCTTGATGTTTTTGAGAAGAAGAGCTGCGTGTCTGTGAAAGAAGATGCTGTTGGAGAATGTCTTGAGAGATGAGAGTAGTAGTGCTGTGATGAGAAGGGTGGAGTATCCCAAGAACAGCGCCGACGATGAAGTATTTGTATTACAAGAAGCCACAGGTGACAAGCATATGGGACAAGCATGGACATCATGGTCTGGTGGTACCCCGGATACTGTACGGCGCGCTGCAGAGCCCATGGTGACCCAGTAGTGGAGATACCACACTACTACTCAGCACCGCGCGCCCGAAAGAGAGAGAGAGCATGATCTATTGACACACAACAACCACCCAGGGGGGGAGGAGGAACATGATGGTTCGAGCGAATATCTGCCCGTCGATCTATCAGCGCACCGACGCTCAGACCTTCTTGGAGTTGGGGGGAGGGGAGGGCAAGCCGACCCGGCGCGATTCTTGCAGCCCTTCACACACGACGACGACAACGACAACGAACGAGAGATCCCTCCTCCTACTGGCCGACCCTCTTTTTTTTCGAAACCATGTGGCAAATGGACTAGAACCTATCTCCTGATGAACCCATTTCCCGCCCCTACCCCACTTTCAAATAATAATAATAAGCACCATCTTCGCGCGAGATCATCGCATTGAAACTCGTGCGCGCGTGTGTGTAAAGATGAGACACAAAAAACACGACGAAGGCTCCACTACTACTACTACTACTAGTAGTAAGTAGTTCAAACTCGCGTGGCCGGCTCGCTCTAAAATCGGTAGTTTTAGAAAAACGTGTTGAAGAGAGAACGAGAGAGAGAGAGAGAGAGGGGAAAGAGAGAGAGAGAGAGAGATGCACCACTTTTCACCCCTGCTTGCTTCACTACGACGTGAGGTTGTAAAACAATCTAAGCCCTCGGGCCTCGGGTGCCCAGCCGGGTGCTTTACAGTGTATACACGAACTAAAGACGCCATCCATATTTTTCTTTTCTGTTTTCGGGTGAAATCCCGTAACATAAAATTGGGGGTAAGAGGAAATGAAATCTAGGAAAATCAGGTTTCTTTTTTACTAAATTTATTACTTTGAGTAGTCTACTGTATAGGTATTCCCTAAAAAAGACAACGAAGAGGGCATCTTTGTTGCTATACTGATAAAGGAGTAATTCTAGTCAGGGATTAAGTATGACGAACATGTTCTTTTAGTTGTTGGCTACCTGTACCCGGAACAAGGGTGGTGCGGACGGGAATCTGCGTAGAATTCAGAGTTTGGGTTTCTAGTCAGGGGTAGTTACCTCCTAGTCGATCGTGAAGGTCTGTCTTTCTATACAGCTGTTTTTGTATTGGTATATTTTGCTCGGTTGACAATGAAAGCTACATTAGCGGTATAGTTTGTTTAATAAATCTATTGACACTACTACTACTTCACTCTTTCTCACGGTCTTGCATCCTCTACTTTACATTCCACATACACGTATACGTGTATATACCTATGTAATACACTCCCGACCGACCGACTTTCATAGTTCCACACGGCTCAACTCCGGTCCTCACTCGGCAGAATTAGTTCAATCGACCAAAACAACAACGGACCCGTCGAGGATCTTTTTAGTTGCTCGACACACCACCTCACCTCACCACCACCATCACCTCACCACTACTACCACTGCCACCACCACTGCCACAGCCACGCTTTCTCTGGTTGTTCCATTCATCGGTTACAGAGCCACTACTCCACAAGCCACCCCGTGGCTCGAGCATTTCTTTCTCTATCTATCTCTCGCCGGCACTCTCTCCGGCGCACACTCTACGCTCTTACACAAGCGGAGATATCTATCTACTACGTACCCGTAACCCGTACCCGCAGCCGTACCGTTTAAAACCGTCAAAGAAGATGTGGTGGTGTGGTGTTCTTCAAAGATGGTGCGTTGAAGAACTAAAATTAAATAAACCAGTGACCACCAATCCAGTCCAGAACGAGTTTGTTTTCTTGGGTTTCATCATCATCAGGCTGAATCATTCTGTCCTTTATTTTCTTTTACCCTTCCGGTTGCCGATGTACTGTAGAGAGATGGCGAGGTGGGATGGGATGGGATGGCGCGATGGTTCATGGATGATGATGATTGATGAGATTGTGAATAGGATGGATTTTTTTAATGAATAAGGCTGTTTTTTTGGCTATTACTTACTTATTACTGACGATTGACTATTAACTACTTACTACTTACTACCATTACAGACCCGGATCTACTCCGCACCTGACATATATTCCATCTCCCCATCTCAAACTTTGAAAGAAGGAAGAAAGCCATTCCACACCCCCCCTGAAACCGCCCTAAGGGGTCGACTAGTCAGGGGTACACACATACATACATACATACAGTAGTGCGCATCGATTAATCGCTTCGAAGCGGAGCGGAGCTAGAAGGTCCACTTCTTCTTCTTCTGCATAGAGAAGAGAGATTGATTGATGAACGGGTTCTCTTCGAGAAGAAAGCGCGTCATGTTCTACTTTATTACACTAAAACTACACTACACTACACTAACCTGACCTCCACACTATTTTTTACTAACTAATTGCCAATGATACGTAGTTCCCCCGGTCTTAACTATTTTACTTTAGGGACTTACTTACCGACCGGACCTGTGGGGAAAAACAGCCACACATACAGGCAATCGTTGTCGCACGTGGGACGGGCAGGTGTGAGGGAGATGAGGGCTAAGGTAGTAGGTACTTACCTACTGGACTGTAGGGTAGGGTGGGTAGGCGCCGAGAGAGAGAGAGAGTCTTGGTTGTCTTTGAATTGCGGAGTTCGCTTTGGCGGAACTGGATGGATGTATGGGTCGATGGATGGGTCGATGAATGGATGGACGGGGGTTAGAAGTCAACTCACATGTGTGATTCTAGAATCTCAGAAAACAATACAGCATCTACTTACTGTACACACACACACACACTCTCACACACACATAAACCACTGTTGCCTCTTTACGAAGTAGCAAAAAGGAAATCGGCGGGTCTTTTTCGTTCAAGTCTCTTAGAAACGAGCCAAAAAAAAAGCCCTCAATAAATTTGATCTTGTTTTTGGGGGCTGGATTCTCCTCTGTGCAACTCTCTCATCTTGTGCCACTTTTCTCGTGCTTGAATTCGCATATCCTGTCTATCCATCTTCCTAATGTGAGTAAGTGTGAGTTTTGACTGAAGTGAGTTGAGTCGAGTATCGCCAAACGCCAAACGCCAAACGCCACTTGACCAGCGCCGCGTTACCGCCTAGTGCAACCACATACTATCTTCTCCCGTCCGCACTGTTCCCTCCCTCCCTCCCGCCCTTTTTCTCCATACAAAAGTGAGACAAACACACATACGCACAAGATCTTTAAGCGAAAATGGGCTTTGAATCATTCATGGCACCATTCCTGCAGCCCACCCACACCCACAGCCCCCAAATGGGCTTGGCCGGTCTTGTTTCGCTCCACTTGGTATTGTTTTTGGCGGACTCAGTTGCAACGCGGACAGTGACAGACCAGAGACAGACTGGACAGCCCATTTCGTTTCCAGAAACGAAGGGCGAAGAGGGCACAGCAATGATGCATGCTGTTGTGTGTGGTTAGTATATCTGTAAGGACTCTTTCGGCCAGAAAATTGTTTTTTATCATCAGCAGCTTCACTTGACTTTTGCAGAACAACCACAAGACAATTCTCAAAGCTATTCACTTGCCTTCTCTCTCAAACTCTATCGGGAAACTTGAACAAATCGCCAATATGAGATTCGCGGCTTTCACCCTGTTGATCGCGACCATGGTCGCCGAGTACGTGGCTCTTCCTCTTCATCCCCCTCCCATCCCCCTTGACCAGTGCCAGGGCCTTTCTTTTTTTTTTTAAAAAAAAAAAGAAAGTTCATATCGGTCGTCAACTACTTCTCCAGATCAGCGATACCTTGCCCACATCATCACCATCCTCATCACCATCTCACCGTGCTTCCATTGAAGAAAAGAAAACCGTCACTGACTTACCAAAAACATTATAGATCATACGCCGACCTCCACAACGTCGCCGTATGCGTCACTGGCCGGAAACTCAGCACCTTTGGCGGTACCCCTTTCTCGCCTAGCATGACTTACTACGAGAACTATGAAGTCCTGGTGCCAGCCACCGAGTGCGCCTGCGGATACTATTTCAACCGCAAGACTGGTACCAAGCAATGGGACCGTTGCCCAGATTGCACATTCGTAAGTCCATCGTCTCTATTATCATCACCAACCAACAACAACAATCTTGCGTTTTCCCAAGAGCGCGCGCTCGCCATGTCGATTAATTTGGGGGAAAAGAATTGGGATGCTGACGGGCTCTTGTCTCTAGGACGCCAATGAGGGAGTTTGCCGATCAAAGGATTGGCACATTGGAGGCGACGAGATGAACCATTACTGCACCAAGTACTGCGGTGCTCAAGGTGCTGAGGCGAACTAAAAGGGGAAGGGGGTTTGACGTACCCACCCACCTATGTACGGATTTGAGGGACACCGCGGAATGATGATGATGATGATGACCAATGTTTTTTCGGAATATGGATCGCCGGACAGCTCTGCAGAAGCGGGATGGCGACTCCATCGATGAATGGTGGGCGGTATGTAGGTATGGCTCCTCTTGAAAGGGAGGGGGGCATTGTATGTTGTTGGACACGACGTTTTGCGATTTCTTTTTCCGCGACGTAGATCTAGAATTGGCCAATTCCATGATTGATAAAGAACAGATCCAGTTTCCACGTGCGCAGTGATGATCTCGCGAGGATCTTTTCATCCCGAAGTAGTCATTTATGGCGGCTTTCGTATGGTGTTGCGCTTCGCATGGTCGGATTGCGATGCAGTGAGCGTCGGCCAGGGTCTTTTTTTTTAATAAAGGGGACGTCGGTTGCGATGCCTTGCGCGAAGCTCACGTTCTTCGTCAGATTCGACAGTCCAGGCAATGTGTTGGACTGACGAAGCGGGCGACTCTGTCATTCCAGTCCGTCCTGATGGAGGGATTGTGTTCACAGCCGCCACCCGTTTCGGTCACCCTTGTAGTCTACAGCTGTCGGCATTGCGGTAGAGACGGTAGAGTAAGTGTAGTGTCTTGGTGGTACTAGGAGGTACCTCCGGTGGTACCTGTTAGCAGCTTGGCAGTCCAGAGCCCAGCCCACAAGCTACAGGTACCTCAGCTCAACCCCTCCAAGCCCTCCATGACGCTGTTCTTATTCACTTGAACGATGCTCGCTGCCAGCTGTTTTGTTGTAACTTGTACCGAAACGGAACATCCAATTAATGATCATATCGTCGCATCGAGGCCGTCATCATAGACTTTTCGGACCAGCGCAATGGCAGATCCCATATGTACCGCTCGTTGCCATTGGTAGATTATCGGCTCCATGGTGGAAAAGGTGGACTAGGTATTTGTCAGGTCCCCGCGTGCTTTATCCGGAAGCGGGCGGGTTTCGGACATCGTGGTGAACTGGTGATATTTAAATACCAAGTAGTACCACCACCGGGGACTCTGTCCATCAAAGTGCTCAGCCTAGCATCCATATCAACCAATCATCGAAAAGGCCATCGCATATTGGAAACCTAGCTCATCAGGCAAAGAAAGACCAAAAAAAGAAAAGATGTCGACGGGAAGCTGCGCATGCGGTGCGATCAGCATCAAGACCACTGGTGATGTCCAGGCGAAGGCGCTGTGCCATTGCGCAGACTGCAAGAAAGTGTGTGTTGTCTGTCTCGTGAGTGTACGACGGTGTGCATGGGCTGACAATATAATACCATAAGATGACTGGATCGACATACTCGACCAACATCATCGTTCCTGGTGTCGAAGTGACCAAAGGCACTCCAAAGACATGGACCAAGACCGCAGATAGCGGCAACCCCATTACATCCCACCTCTGCGGCGAGTGTGGTACGACCCTCTTCCGCTCGGGCACCACGTTTGGAGGTGCCAAGGTCGTCAAGGCTGGAGTTTTGGACGGAAATGCTCTCGAGGAGGCCTCGCCAGCGGTGGAGCTTTACGCAAAGGCGAGGACCAGCTGGGTGCCAACTATCAGCGGCGCTGGACAGAAGATTGGCATGCCGGATAGTGCTGATGCATAGATATGGCTGTTGCCGTTTGTGTCGCTCAAGGAAAAGAAGAAGATCGCAAGCAGCTATGAGTGGAATATAGCAAGATCCAATGATACCCCGTCATAAGTGGTTGCAAAATATTCTGATTGGCCGTCCCAGTGCTGATGAGGTGTGCGAGAATGTTCGATGTTCGTGAAGGAGGCGAGACCGAAACATTAGGAACCTGGGAGATCGGATTGCAGCCAGGAAGTACCTATCAGTGGCCTATGCCGTAGGCGGCAGGTGCTCTTATACCTCCTAAGCTGATGGAGTATTCGGCAAATTTACTCTTCAGCAAAAGGCTAGCGTTGTTACATACATATCGCCTAGGAGCATCTCGGCGCCGACCATGACACTAGTCATTACAATGAGTGTGCTTCACTCTCTGCGGTGTTCGGTATGGTGAACGCTGATGTTGTCCGGCATTCCGCTCAGCTTTCGTCGGGGCAAGCGTTCATCGAAGACTTCAAAGCGTGGTGCGAATGCAGGCTATCGTGTGTTAGGTACTCATGCTTTCATGGTCCACAATGCCTGGCGTGTGAGTTCTGAGTCTTGTTCGGTCTGAAGTTTCACAAGCAATGTACCGATTCCAGCCAGATGATGGTGCTCAGGCAGCCTGCTTCTCCGCCTGAGGACTACACTCCACGTTACTTACGGAGCAGCCATGACTGACGGCTCGTGGCATTTCCGAAGATCAAAGAATAGGTAGTACTGTGGACTAGTCTAGTCTTCTTCTGAGCTTTCTTCGGGCTCTCTGACCGTATCTTTGAGTGTCTGAAAGCGGTCAGCAAGTACCTAACTGAGATGAATGGTCTGGGAGCAAAACACACATCCTTCAGTAAAGCCTTCAGCTCGTCGTGCTTCTTCTGGTTCACAAGAACATGCTCGTCGTCGATGTCTTCGATAATGAAGCTGTGTGCATGTTGCGCGTCTATCCTCACGATGATGGCCTTGATGGACGGATCGCACTGCACGAGCACTCCTGCGTACAGAATTCGTTGGCATGAGGTCGGCGGTGGGGGCACAAACGAGGCTGTTCAAACCGCTCACCTTGCATTGCGCGAGGCATCGTGGGAGTGTTCCAGACCGGTCGTGGTCCAGTCAGGTATTTGGTGCTATTGAGGGTACGGTATGGTATGCCTTGGTGCTGTAGAGTAGGTAGTACCTTGACTAGTGAAGAGATCGGGTAGAATAATGCAGGCTGGGACGGTCGGACAATAGGTACCAGGTAGGAGGTAATACTCTAATAGGAGGTAATGGTACGAACCTTCAGGGCTACCTCCCTGAGTTTAGCTAAAAAGGTTATGGGTTTCCTCTTCACTTGCGGCATCCTTCCCGTCAGGTACATGTACACGGTATCGCAATTCATCGCCATCACCATCACATGTTTGACGTGCCATGGCCGAACCGCAGTTTGCGCAGGCTGCCGACCAAGGCCGGACTGGATTCTTCACTACCCGTACGCTGACGGCGTCATTGGCCCACCAACAATAATGCTTGCCTGCGACTAACGTCTTACCCTTACGCGTCGCCTCGCTCCCTCACCCACCCAGTACATGTAGCCTACGACTTCGGGTCCAACAGCACCGGCTCCATCATTCTCACATCCGAAGCGATACTGCAGCACCATACCCTTACCGCACCGCTTGCTTGCGCAGAACTGCTGACACCACCGCCATCACCCAGAGGTCGGTCTCGCATCATGGACGTTGTCCTTCGCCTTCTGCTCGGCATCTGCCTCGCCTCGTCCGCCTTCACCACCGCCCAGTCGACCGATGATGGCTCCAACCTTGTGTCCAGCATCTACGGTGGCGACTCGACAACTACAGCATCCGACATCTCCACCGCTCTGCCAACAAGCGCAAACGGCAGCGACAACCACAATGACGACGACCATCGCGACGTCGGCGGTCTGGTCAACTACTATTTCGTCTTCCTCGCGCTCTTCGTGATTATCACCGGCTTGGGTGCATTCATGATGTACCGTAGGAAGAAAAGGGCCATGCTGATGTACCGCCACGGCCAGTCCAACGCTCTTCAACAGGATGTCCATCAGTGGGACCCGACACGAGCTCGGCGACGGCACTGGCAGGGAAGGTGGCGATCTACGGACGAAACACATGACGACAGAGAGAGGAATGAGGGATTGAACGAACATGGAGAGGCTCCGCCCCCGTATATGCCCAAAGGGCGGAACGACGAGGAGGCGCTTCATGATCATGCTGGACAAGGACTCGCTGTGCCGCTTGAGACTCTATCTCGAGAACAGGCTGGACTCAAGCCTCCTGGGTATGAATACGCGGTGACGGAGCAGTATGGAGAGAATATGAACACTGGGGCGACAAGTTCGACAACGATCACGAGCGAAGAGGCGCATCGAACGGGATCAGCGCCACAGTATCGCTAATTTGATCCTTGATGGTTTACATTTTCGAGAGTTCGAGAAATCGCTCTATCAGCGAAGCGAAGACATTGTCGTTCATAGCGAGGCGTTTAGGGGATTCACGGGTCATGACAGCACCGAGACTTTGTGGCACAGTTGTCATAGCATAGAAGATCTGAGCTGACGCATGAAAGTCGGCATGAGAGGAAGAACTGGTCCTGGGAGATGCGCGACCCAGAGAAACTAGGTCTCCATGAATACAACACGAATGCAGTTGAATCTGTTACGACTCTGACTTTTCCAGTCACATTATCCGTTACAACCCTTCTGCCGGTCTGCCACAAAGTGAGACAGGCACGGGGCGGCACTATCCATGACACCTATCTTCAGTTTTGTCCCGTCGAAAGCCGCTTCCGCCCCCAAATCGTTTCGAGGCTGCATCCGCGATGAACAAAGAAGGACAGCTGACAGAGTCTTCACGGTGAGTAGCAGTACCTAATGTAGTGAACGAAAGAGGTCGAACATTCCGTTCTACAGTACTTGCCCCCTACTATCATTTTCCATGTGAAGTTTATTAATGAAGGTAGCGATCGCTATGATCGCGATAAACGTCTTTCTCCCACCTGCAGGCATCCCGCAGGCGATCGATACGATCGATAGGAAGCATCTCGTCATTTCCCTCTGGTGTTGCCTCACATGATGTGCTCTTGTTGTGTGTCTCCTTGTGCTCCCCGTCAGGTCGGACAGCGCCCGGTGGTGGAATGGTCAAAGACATTCACATTGCACACGCATGAGGACCTGAAGGGGATTGGAAACGAGTTTTGGCGGCGGGTGAGAATCAAGATCCTCGGCGGTTCGCGTGGAAATCCTGGGCGGGATGGCTGTGCTCGCTCCCCAGCCACGATGATGATGACGGACAAGGTCCGTGGAGCTAATTAAGGTACATCATGTTTCTGGCTGAGATTACCTGGACGTGTACCTTGAGGGTTGGACGCCAAGGGTACATGAGGTGTACATAATGTATAGGAGACGAAACAGGATGGGTGTAGCTAGCTACCGACAGCACAGTGAGTGGTACAGGACACCTTGATATCCACTGGTGACATTGTTGGCGCAGGCAATGGAGATACGTGTAGGTACATGTATCTAGTATAGAGGTACTATACTCTCGTAGCTACCAAACCTAATATGACGCGTACCGCAAGCCAATGGAAGCAGAGCAGAGGTTGGAGGTATAACAGGTCTACAGGAAACTCTCAACATAATACCATACATACCTCCTCCTAGCTAAGGTCGCTACCTGACCTGACCTTGCACAGCAACGCAACCTGGTTCGACGGCAAGCCACAACATCTAGTAGAACTCAGGCTGTCCAAGAGGTCGGTGCGCTCGCCAACACAACTACTGACGCCTCACTCCAACATTACTTGACATCTTGCCTACTTGCTTGCCAGCTTGCCTGTCTGTCTGTCTGTTTGTCTATCTACCTGCCTACCTGCCTGCCTGTACTACTGCTACCTACCTCCGAGGTACTGTAGGGACCTGACCTTACCTCCTACCGCAGCACCCACGCTCCTTATCTGCCTGCACACCTCTACCCACCCGCTGCCTTGACTCTCTCCCCCCACCTCCACCACCGCGCGGTGGCCACGAACACCCATCCTCTCGCACCACATTGTAGCTGAGGCAGCCCCCAACTCATACCAGAGTCCGAGCCAGTCGCGATGGAGGGCACCGCCAAGGGCGTCGAGGAGCTCAAGGCACAGGGTGTCGTCGAAGCTGCTCAGGATCCCAACAGCAGCGTGAATGCCGCCGACGCGGAGAAGGCGCTGAAGGACCATGCCCAAGCTGGTGGTGCTGCCGCCTTTGAATTTGACCCAGACGCCAGTCCGGAAGAGAAGGCCGCGCAGGCGAAGAACGTGAGTGCTGAGATTCGGCCTGTCGTGCCCACCCATGGTAGTATGGTACCAGGGAGATAACATGGCCATGAAACTGACACACGGTGGGTATAACAGCGAGCGGGACCACGAATACATCGCAAACACCAGACTGCTGCCCTGGTGACCGACTCCGATGACGGCGTCGACAATCCGGATCTCCCACCCCCGAGCAAAGAGGGCGCCATATCGACCATTGAGGACCCTGATACCGATGCGAATGGAGCTGTCGACGGCGACCAGCAATATGCAAAAGTGGGCTGGGCGCCACGATTCGGCAACCCAGGCGAGAACGACGACGACGAAGATGATGGGCGGGACCACCAGACATTCTTGGAAGGCAAGATTGACGAGAAGTTCTTTGGAGATTGGTACCATAACGCGGGTCTCATCATCTTTGCATGCTTGAGCTCCTGGACTATTGCAGTCTTGGGTGGAGGATTGGGTTGGATCTTCATTCTCATGACCGTCTGCGGCACATACTACAGAACGTCCTTGCGCAGAGTTCGACGCAATTTCAGAGACGATATCATGCGGCAATTGACTAAGAACAAGTTGGAGACCGACGTCGAATCGCTCGAATGGATCAACAACTTCATGTCCAAGTTCTGGCCCATCTACGCCCCCATTCTATGCGCGGGCATTGTGTCCTCTGTGGATCAGGTTCTGAGCACGTCTACTCCGGCATTTCTGGACAGCATGCGCATGAAGTTCTTCACGCTCGGCACGAAGCCGCCACGCCTGGAGCACGTCAAAACATATCCGCGGGAAGAGGACGACATTGTGATCATGGACTGGAAATTCAGCTTTACTCCCAACGATGTCTCGGACATGACCACACGACAGGCGAAGCTCAAGGTCAATCCCAAGATTGTCCTCGAAGTTCGCATCGGCAAAGCCATGATCTCCAAGGGTCTGGACGTCATTGTGGAGGACATGGCGTGTTCGGGCATCATGCGAGTCAAGATGAAGCTCATGCTGTCGTTTCCCTTCGTAGAGAGAGTCGAGATTTGCTTCCTGGAAAGGCCCATGATCGACTATGTTTGCAAGCCACTGGGTGGAGACACTCTCGGCTTTGACATCAACTTTGTTCCCGGGTTGGAGAGCTTCATTCAAGAGCAGATCCACGCGAATCTGGGCCCGATGATGTACTCTCCCAACGTCTTCCCTATCGAACTCGCCAAGATGCTTGCTGGTACACCTGTCGATCAAGCAATTGGTGTGCTGCAGATCCAATTCCATGGCGCGCATGGTCTGAAGAACCCCGACAAGTTCTCTGGAACGCCAGATCCGTATGCAACAGTATCGATCGACAATCGTGAAGTCCTCAGCAAGACGAAGACCATTGAAGGCAATGCAAACCCGAGATGGAACGAGACGGTGAGCATCATTTTGACGAGTCTCAGAGAGCCGCTCACGATTGGCGTCTTCGACTACAACGAGTTTCGAAAGGACAAGGAGTTGGGCACCGCGACATTTGATCTGGAACAGCTTACCAAGGAGCAAGAGTATGCAAATCAGAACCTGGAGGTCATTGCCAACGGCCGACCACGGGGCACCGTACAGTGTGACATTCGATTTTTCCCCGTCATTGAAGGCAGGAAGCTTGATGATGGCACTGAGATACCACCACCGGAGAGCCTCACAGGTATTGCTAAATTCACTGTCGAGCAAGCCAAGGACCTTGATGGGAGCAAATCCATGATTGGCCAGCTCAACCCGTATGCCGTGTTGCTTCTCAATGGAAAAGAGGTGCAGATTTCGCAGAAGCTGAAGCGTACAAACAACCCGATCTGGCCCAATGCTTCCAAGGAGATGCTCATCACTGACCGTAAGAAGGCCAAGCTGGGTCTAATCATCAAAGATGACCGCAATCTGGCTTCGGATCCTATCCTCGCTAGTTATCAGATCAAACTTGACGATATGCTTAATCTGACCACCAAAGGCCAGGAATGGTACAATCTGGCAGGTGCGAAAACCGGGCGCGCGAAGATGTCCTTGCAATGGAAACCAGTGGCCCTCAAGGGCTCTGTTGGTGGCAATGGCTACATTGACCCGATTGGTGTCATGCGTTTCCACTTCCAGAATGCAAAGGATCTCAAGAACTTGGATACTCTCGGAAAATCGGATCCCTACGCTCGTGTTCTTCTGTCAGGCATCCAAAAAGGGAGAACAGTCACTTTCAAAAACAATCTCGATCCCGAGTGGGATGAGATCTTTTACGTACCGGTGCACTCAACGCGTGAGAAGCTTGTGGTCGAGGTCATGGACGAAGAAAATGTTGGCAAAGATCAGACCATGGGCCAAATCGAGATTGATGCCTCCGAGTATATCACTCAGACCGAAACGGGCGAATATGCGGTTCACGACAGCAAGCATGAAGTCATCTCGGCGCCACTGCGTGTTGGGCGCAGTCCTCCCAAGGGTGTCCTGAACTTCACTGTTGCGTTCTATCCCACGTTGAACGTGGCGGATCCAGAGGACGAGCAGGAAAAAGCCACTACGACTGAGGAAGCAGCAGTCAATGGCAATGGTACGGGCCTCAACGGTCACAGCAGCGTCAAGTCGAGTGATAGCACGTCCGAAGAAGCAGCAATGCGCACTGCACTTGCCGAGAACGAGAATGAGCAGACCGAAGCAGAAGAAGTGAAGCAGCAGGAAGTTCCAAAGATCAAGATTGGGCCGGAGGATCTTGTCCATTATGGTAAGCAGGTCGGATGATCCCTTGGTAACGCAATGCTAATCACATATCGCAGAATCTGGTCTCATCGTCTTCACTATCCATGAAGGCGATCTTACGCACACCAACAGTTACCTGCAGGTGCTCATGGACGACATGAAATATCCCACTTGGCAGAGCGCCAAGATGAAAACCAAAAAGCACTCGTTCAATGAGACCGGTGACGCTATGGTCCGGGAGTTGGACTTGTCTCGCATCACGCTCAGACTCGTCAATGATCCTGAAGCCAAGAGTGACAAAGACGATGGCATCAAGGCCAAGGTTGCAGCTCCGACGATTGAGACTCTCCGGCGTTGTCTGTACACTCCACAAGTCATCCCCATCAAAGATGAGGACGGGCACGAGAGCAAGGTTACAGTATCGATGCGATACCTTCCTGTCAAGATGCAACTCGAACCGAGCGAATCATTCAACAACCAGGGAAACCTCCGTGTCGAGGTGCTGGATGCCGCCGATCTGCCTGCTGCGGACCGAAACGGGTACTCTGATCCGTTCTGCAAGTTTGTGCTCAATGGTAAGGAAGTCTATAAGACGAAGACGCAGAAGAAAACGCTTCACCCGGCGTGGAATGAGTACTTTGAAGTGCCCATCATCAGCCGTACGGCCGCCAAATTCCAGTGTAATGTCTACGATTGGGATTTCGGCGACAAGAACGACTTCCTCGGAGGTGCAGCCATCAACCTGGATGTACTCGAGCCGTTCCAAGCACAAGAGGTGGCTGTCAACCTCGAAGGCACAAGCGGTGTAGTCAGACTGAAGATGCTCTTCAAGCCCGACTACATTACACGAGCACGACAAGGATCTTCCACTTTCAGCGGTACTTTCGCTGCTCCAGGCAAGATTGTTGGTGCTCCCGTGAAGGGTGTCGGCAAGGTGGGAAGCGCGATCGGCGGAGGCATCTTCAGCGGTGCCAAGTTTGCTGGACGCGGCTTCAAGCGCAGGACTGTCAGTGGAGCGCAGGACGCGCCGGAGCCTGATTTGCGGGCCACCAGTATGGATACAGGTGCCGGAGAAAGTCTCAGTAGGCCGTCCACCTCAGCGAACGGCGGCCACGCCAATGGCGACTCGATTAATGGCATCGTTGGTAGGGACTCGATGCAGCCGCCCCGTACACCCGGCGGCCATGATCGGTCAAGGAGCTTTGGACAAGTCAGCCCTGCTGTGACTGGCGAAGTAGGCACTGCCTCGATCAGCATCGTGAGCGCTTCCGGCTTTCCTGAGGACACGAAGTTGGAAGTGCACGTCCACCAAGGCGGCAAGGAGATCATCAAGACGAAAGCTATCAAGGCCAAGACGGGTGATGCCATCTGGGACGACCATGAAAAGAAGGTGGAGTGCAACGCCGCTGCTCCTTTCAGAGTCGAGGTCAAGAACGATAAGGTCTTCAAGGACGAGACACTCGGCGAGAATACCTTCTACATCAACGACTCAGCTACGGGTGGTGAGCGTGAAGTACGCTGTGGCACCGGTATGGTTGTCATTCGTACATCCTTTCAACCCGCCGAAGTGAGCTCCGCAAATCTGAGCACGCAATCGCCAGCAGGCAAGAAAGGCTTTGGCAAGTTGCTGAGCCGGCCATCGGGCAGAGACCGGGAGCGAAGTGTAACACCCTCCGGATAGAGCCCCGAGGCACATGCCAGCGCGATAATGGAAGGCGCGGCCGATCGCGAACAGGGTCTAGGACGCAGGGAGAGTCTGAAAGCCAAGTTCAATTTTCGCGGGCACCAAATGAAGGAAAAGACCAAGGACGTATTTCGAAGAGGCAGCAACAGTTCGAAGCAGTCACTGCAATCATTGCGATCGTTTCGAGGTGACAGCATCTTCACAATCAACAACGATATGAGCTTGATAGAGGATGGACCGGAATGGGGTCCAGCCACGATACCGCGAACACCCAATCGAGCTTCGACAATCACTACGGGATCGACGAGCAAGATCCGCCGAGAAAAGTAAGCTTGTTCGTTATTGTTCCCTGTTTGTAATCATTTTTGTTTGGTCTTTCTTTGAGAGCCTAGGCATTGCAAACCAGCATGCCCGGTCTGCAGCTGGAGCGTAGGAGTTTGGGGAGTGATTAGCGATCAGATACCATCAATTGCGTGTTTGCGCGCGCGCAAAAGGGCCGAACTTTGTTGTTGTCGTTTTGTGTATGGTGTAGATTGAAGGACAGGAATTATATACATCGTGTATTGACTGAGTGAGAGTGAGAGACCCAAAAATGACACATTTGTATCCACCAAACACCCGAGTCTCGCCGGGCTGACTGGCTCTACGGGAGACTCACGATCAGAGGGACACGAGTATCGAGGACATGAGAGACACTACTACAGTAGGTACTGAATTGAGCGAAGTTACTCTATTTTGATTGATTGATTTTCGTCAGCACGCGCAAGTAAAGTGGAAGTGAATCGCAGCATGTAAAGAAAACAGGGATGCTGAGACAAGCGAGCCAATCAAATGCTGATATGAGCAAATCGATACCATTACACGATTATCCTCCATACATACAGTATAGGTACACTTTGAATGAGTGCCATACCAGAACTTCCGTTCCCAAAGCTCAGAAATAGGTCGTATCGTGCTTGCCCATAAAAACGCCATCGCTAATTCCAATGCCAGCCCGTCTCCTGCACGACCACAGCTATTGAATGCAGTATATGCAAGCGTACGTCTGTTGCTCAACCAAAAGCTTGGTCAATCCAGTTCTTCGGTCTCCTCATCTCTGTCAAGAACTTCCTCACACTATCAGGTGTTTTTGCAGCCTCCCTGTCAATCGGAGACTTCGTTGCTTCGTCTGGGTCCTCTTCACTGTCGGTATTGCCGCCGTCTAGACCCGCTAGTCAGCTCGCGTGCTGTTTGCTCCGTGCTCGTCGTGTTCATGCTCACCGGAAGAGTTGCCAATCGCGATCGGCTCGACAATCTGCACACTCTGCCGGTTTGCTTTGCCATTCTGCTTCCCGCCTGCAGACTGAGATATCAGCCGTGCATCGATCGCGTCATGAGCTTCTTCTGCTTCGGCTTCGATTTCTTCGGCGACTCCATCGAGGCCGAGCGCACGTGATCTGCCCTTTGACGCTTTGGATTTCTTGCTGTATTGTGATGCGTTCTCTTCATTGTATTCGTGGGCTTCCAGGAAGCGATCGGACTCTGTGTCTCCTGCGGAAGTGCTTTCTTTACCCTTGGAGCTTCTGGTCAGCTTCGAGGACGTATCGAACCACACGTCCCGATGCTGGCTTGGTGCGGCCGTGTCGAGGTCATCGTAGGCGATCGAATTACTACTTGTGGTTCGCATTGGTATTGGAGGAGCTCCGGACCGTGGTGACAAGAGAGAAGCCTCATTCCCTGACGGCACAGGAGCTTCGGCGCTCGCCGGCTGTTTGTTCTTGAAGGGCGGTTCAGTGTGTCCTTCTTCTTTTTCTTGCTCACCATCATCAACAAAGTCTTTAATGTCTGAGTAGAATTCCAGCTTCTTCACCTGCTTCTCAGCGGCATGAATGGCCTTGTGAAGATTGCTGACGTGTCTTGCATTCCGATCGTGCTCTTCCTGCTTTGCCTCTTCGTCCTTGTGATCGTGCGATTCCAATTCATCCTGCTCTGCACGCAGCTGATCGTGCCGGGCAATCAGGTCGTGCAAGAGCTGTCGCCGGGAAGCCTGGAACATGAAATTTTTCATAATGTCCTCCATGGATTCGCTGAGGTAGTACAGTTCGTCGCCGGCGCCGCCAGTAAACTTCCTGATCGCTTGGATCTTCTCTCTGTCTACAGTGGACTTGCGCAAAGCCAAGAAGAGGTCTGCGATGGTGAAGATCTCCATGTTCTCCACGTTGATCTCTTCCTGTTCCCGTCTGGCTCTGGAGTGCACCAACTGACTCGTTCCCTCCAAGTCATCATCGCGAACCGTCCTCGGGTGAATAGTGAAGTAATCCGAGGTCAGCTCGTGGGCTCTCTCTTGCGTTCGATGCACAGTGTCCTTCCGCTTCCTCATCCGCAGCCAACGTCTCCTCCTCACGAAGCTGTGAAACCATGGGTGGTTGCCATGCCAGGCAAACTTTTGTGCCTGCTTTCCCGCAAAGGCAAAGCTGTATTCCCATCCCTCTTCATCCACGTCGCGGCTCATTTCCACGTACCAGCTCTTCCACGTCCACTGCCAGCTCGGATCGGGCACCTGGGCATTGCGTATATCCACAGCGGCAGTGCGGAACTGGGCATTCTGCCATGGCTTGGGGTCGCTGGGAAGGAGCGAAGCAGAAGAGTATTTGGGTATGCCGAAGAGAAACATGCCCCGCTGGTTCTCGTACAGCACATCCACGACTACATCTTTTTCGTCTGCTTTGCCCAGATTCTTCTTCTTCTTCAACAATTTGTTCTTCCTAGCCTGCAGGCTTGACTGCGCGCGGGTGACCATGCTCTTCTGCCTCGCTGTGGCCTGTTGCACCGACTCTGGCACGTCACCAGGTTTGACGTCGTCGTCGGTGGACGAGTGTGCAGGCTCCTCGACATGGTAGCGATCCTGGCCATATTGGGCGTACTTTTGCTTGTTGTAGGTATTGCGGGCAGTCTGTCGCAGGCCAGTGGAGGTGTTGGTCATACGCTTGTAGAGGGAACCCGGGGCAGGCGTGCCGACTGAGGCCTCACTGTCACTGGGTTCAGCATCGAAGGAGAGATTGGAGCGGTTCCGTGCGAGGGGGACAGTGTGGTCGACGAGGACAATGTGGTGTTCGGCCTTGATTCTCGAAGGGCTCGGCAGGCGCGTGAGGGAGGCAGTGGATGGTTCAGACATTATGGTATATAGGTAGGTAGGTAGATATATTACAAGATGGTATGGGTAGCAGAAGGGGGGGAGAGATGGACCGTCATGAGGAAGAATGCGATGATGAGAGATGGGGAGAGAGGATGAAGGAGGGATCACCTGTCAACAAGGTTGATGGGATGGCCGTGGTCGACTGTTCCGCCGCGTGCTGGATGTCCGAGGGGAGGCGGAGGGCCGTCCAGCGCGAAAGGCTGCGAGGAGGAGGGGGAGGTGGTGGTGGTGTTTGCGGTGATGGTGGTGGGTGGCGCGTTCATCTCATCGTCCGGCTATTGGTCAGGTCGGGTCAGGTCAAGTCCAGGACATGGCGGTGGTCTCTGTTCATTATTCATGAGATACAGACAGACCTCATTACCTCCTACGGTCATCAATGACCAGTACCAGGTAGGAGGTAGCAAGAAGCAAGGCACGGACCCGGCTGTTCTTGCTGATCGGCCAGATCTCGCATCCTTGATCGGCTCCACCTTTCTCGAGAAGATCTACGAATTGTTCATGCTGGTTGGCCAAAAGGTAAGCCACGTATCAAAAGGAACAACGCAGGAGTGCGGTACAATATGAACGGTTTCATGGGGCTCCAACGGTGAGGCTATAAGATTTCGTAGAATGAGGTGAAGACGAACGATGGATGCAACCGTTTTTGCCCATCATGCAAAAATTGACAAAAAGAACGTTTCCGAAACGGGGAATTGAACCCCGGCCTCCTCGGCACTTCGCAGTGTTGTACAGAGCTTGAGAGCGAGAAATCCTAGCCACTAGACCATTTCGGATTACAATCACATTTTACTGTGAATTGATGAGGAGATTAGTGAGCCACTCAATATATACATCACTGTCATCACAGTTGAATCGGAGCTGGCTCGGAGCGCACCGATACCCGACCTGCAGCGGATAGCCCCATGCACGTAAACTCTGTCAAGATGGAAGACAACATCAAGAATCTGACCACGCTACCTTTCCAAAAACAGCATTTTACAGCAATACCTCGCTCCCATATTCGGCATTCGGGTTTCTATCGCGTTACAAGTGGAGAATACCAGCATGCCGACTTTGCCTCCGGTAGCTTAAACAATGCCGCCCTACGCGACCCTCCATCCTGCCAAAGCGAGAAGCAGCGGTGATATAGGGCGCTCTATCGATGTAGTACTTGTGGATTTGGATACGGCTGGTGCTGGTACGCGCAGGAATTGCTGGCGGTATGGCCAGGCGAAACCGCATGAATGCTTAAGGTAGGTACATGTATGCTTGAAACAGATATGTACTAGGCGGGCGCAGAGCCACGCACTGCTAGGTGGAAACAGAGACTTGTAACGATCTCAGATGTTACAATCGGCGTTAAGGCAGAACAGTCTAACTATCCAGTACCTAAGGCTGGTAGAGATAAACTATAGCCTCTTCCTATACCGTCGTCGAACGTAGCGATATGAAGCAATCTTGCGGCTGTCGAGTCAACTTGTCCCAAGCCTTATCAGAGTCCAGGCGGGATGGAAGTCGAGCAAGATGAAACTCCCAGACGACCAGTACCAACCAGATGCGAAACTCGACGTAAGCGAGTCGACGTCCGAAGCACCCTCGTGGTCCTAAGCTGAAGATCATGTTCCGGGCGAGTGTAGCATCAAAGACTTCCTGGCCATCTCGGCCATCCGTCGTACTCAACCATCGTTCTGGTCGAAACTTCGCTCCGTCCATGGTATCTTGCGCGGAAGCGACCCTTTTGCCCGCTGCGGACTGGCATGACGGACTTCTCTGTTCCTCGCTGATCGGGAGACCAGGAGCGGTGTAATCGGCACCGCTCCAGACCATGACGACGTTGGTACCTTGGGGCACAAAATGGCCGAGGAGAGTGGTATCACATGTTGCTTTGCGCACGCAAGCGGGTGCTGTCATGGAAAGACGAAAGAGTTCCTCAATCGTCGCATCCAAGTACGGACAGGGCTGTTTGAAGATCTCTTGCACCGTCGGCATCCGATTCTCCGTCACAGCAGCAGACATGGCGAGGCGCAAACAGTCCCGCAGCTTCGTCTGCTGCTCCTGGTGTCTCGCGAGTAGCTTCAATGCCCAGAGTTGAGAATTGGATGTGGTCTCGTGGCCTCCGAGAATGACACCGAATACTTCGTCGTAGAAGACACGTGAGTCGAAAGCAGGCTCCCGTGACTCCTTCTCTGCAAGGCCCATTTCTCTTCGCACCATGTTGTCGAGAGCGCTGCTGTCACTCTCATCATTTCCAGCTCGGCAGACAGCAGCCTGTATCGCCCGACTCAATAGTTGCTCTTTCCGGGCCAGTGCGTTCCTATACGAGCCGGTCTGGCGCAGCATCCAGTGGGCCAACTTGGGAGTGGGTGCTTTCAAAGACGTCTCCAAGCTGCACGAAAGCACAAGGAGTGCATCGACATCGGGCTCGTGGGGGACGCCCGAGAAGTCAAACGGCAGCGTATGTTCTTCTTCTTCTTCAGAACCATCATCGACTTTCGCCAGCGAAGTTATGTAGTCCAGCTGTGTCTGATTGGCACTGGGCACGCCGTCACACCCCAGAGTGAATGCGAGCACGGAGTCGAGAGCAAAGTGGCTGACATCCTCAATCGCTGAGAATGGTCGAGCACCACAGACTCGCATCTTCTGCTTCCACAGACTAGTCAAGCGCCGAGCATTGTCATATATATTCGGGCCAGCCACCGCCTGCAGAAACGCCGGAGACATCAGATCCTGCAAAAGCCGTCGATGTTGTTTGTACTCCTCATTCGTCTGCAGACGAATATGGTGATTCGGCATAAGACCAGCGAAGAGATCCGCAGTAAAATCCGATCGATCAAACTCCTTATTCCGACGCAACAAGATATCTTGCGTCTCCCGAAAATCACACAGAACCAGCCACGGTCGCGACAAGGGTCGTGCAAAAACCTGTACGAGTGGCGACTCGAGCTCGATACACTGCTGACCGAGCCAGTCAAACATTTCTCCCGTCTGAGAGATGTGAGAGATCATTCGCAGCATGTCGCCGAAAATTGTCTTGGTCGCATCTTTGCGGTAGGGGATTTCTGGGAGTGGCTTGGGAAGCAGGAATAGCTGATGGATGATGTAGATCAATAACAGGACCGTTGCTGCGAGAAGCGCGCTTGTGGTCCAGCCTTCTACTACCATTTTTTTGACTGCGTCAAACGTTTGAGAAATTGCCAGAGGGAGAATTAGTTGAAAACAGAGCAAAGGCAATCCGACCGACCTAGAGAGAGAGAGAGAGAGAGAGAGAGAGAGAGAGAGAGAGAGAGAGAGAGAGAGAGAGAGAGAGAGAGAGAGAGAGAGAGAGAGAGAG